TTATCTAAATTTTACTCAAACATTCAATTAATTTCATTGATTTGCTTTTAAGAAAATAAAATTTTAATTATTCCTATAATCAAGACCGGCTGCGATTTTAACTAATTTTCTTCCATGTTTCACATTACTCCTGCAGTTTAAAATTGCAATTTTGTTCCTCTCTCTTTCTCCCTCTCTCTCTCTCTCTCTCTTTCTTTTCTTGGAGATTTTTCTTAATTTATTTTTCTGGGATATTTCGATCTCTCGACTGTGAAGCATCTCGATCTGGCATGTTACGGATTTTTGACGTGAATCGGTAGAGCAGAAGGACTGTTGGGCCACTCCTTGACTAGCCCAACCGTATAATCACGATCTTATTCTAGTGTCCATCACATTCTTCTATTCTTCTTCTCCTCCCTCATGCGAGTTATCGACTAAAGAAAAAAAAAAATTCCTTTTTCTGACTTATGGATGTTGCCTCTGCTTCTATCAAGTCTTTTTAAACGTTGTGTGTGTCTTTTATGTTTATTCACCAATTTTATTATCTTCGCATAACGTTATTCCAAAACAATTTAAAATGTTAAATCACTATTAAAATAAATGATGCGTATTATATATATTTTTTTAAAAAAAATTATCCTTTTATTTTTGGGCTAATTATTTAATAGAATATTAAAGAATATTACGGAATCTGCACTATAATATTCATGCTAACATAAAAAAATATATATATAATTTAATAGTTACTAAGTCATATTTAATGACGTTTTACCACAAAACCTGGCGTGAATGATATCATGCGCCATCTCCAAATCATTAGTTATTCAAGATTAAATAACTTCAAACTATTTAAATGTCATTAACTATTTTTACAGAACAAAAAAAAAAGATATATTGCCATCTTTTTGTTCTATAAAAATAGATAATTGTATTTAAATTCCTATATATTACATTATACAACTGTAGTTAATGGCCTTACATAAAACTGCAATACTATAATATATTATATACCTCGTAATATATATTATAATCCTTAATGATATTTAAATTGCACAAAAATTATTGCAAATTACGTAAAAATCAAAGGCTTTAACAATCTGTATACAGTTTTTTTTTTCTAGTAAACGAATATGATAAATTCTGTGATAAATATTTAAACATTATATAATTATAATTCTACTTATTTACTTATATTTTGTTCAGGAATTTTTCCAAATTTCTTATCTGTTATTGTATTAACTTTAAAATGTGACAACTTCCATAAAATGTATCATATTGGTAAGTCGTAACACTATCGTCTATACCTAATTACAAGCACTATATGATCTATAATATTGATTAGAGAATATCATAAAATATGTATGGTGGGGTGACTAAATCATTACTTGGCCTGAATTATTCTATACTTAGGACATATTAAGCACGCGGCTATATAATAGAATAGACGTTAATAGCCTATACACCAGACAATAGTTGTAATGGTAGATTAAATTATTTATGCTAACGAGCCTGCTTTATTAATTTTGTTCGTTTTACACATTACTTAGTTATATTTTGGAGCATTCGAGCAGAAGTTTAATTTTGAAACGAATTTTAATAATAATAACGATACAGTGCATAACGTTAGATCAATTTTTTAGGTTCTCTTGAAGCCTGTATAAATTCTGATGTATCGTAAGATGTTTACATAACTGTGGAAAATAATCTGCAGAATGTTTGTCTAACTGCATGCATGAAATGCAGATCCATGATGTGCATATGAATGGAATTTAATACGAGTTTAAGGTACCCTGTTATAAATTTTCTGCACGCATGTTTCTAGGCGTGGTTTGTTTTTTTTTCGATTTTTATACCAGTATATGGAAATCTTAATATATATCTATGGTTTAAATTAAGATTTTTCGACAGTAATTCTGTAGAGAGAATGTATTAACTAGTAAAATATAGAATTACGACCCGAAGGAAAGTGTAAATTGCCATTAAAACTAATACCTTATTAGTTTACATTAACTTGATGGTTTACGTCTTTAACTTCTTCAAGCCATCAAAACATGTTTGAGAAAATTCGTTCGAGGCCGGTTTGGTCCAATTACGATCGTTAACGTTCATCTTACAAGTAAGGAAGGAGGAAGGAGGCTTGGNGCTAATTATTTAATAGAATATTAAAGAATATTACGGAATCTGCACTATAATATTCATGCTAACATAAAAAAATATATATATAATTTAATAGTTACTAAGTCATATTTAATGACGTTTTACCACAAAACCTGGCGTGAATGATATCATGCGCCATCTCCAAATCATTAGTTATTCAAGATTAAATAACTTCAAACTATTTAAATGTCATTAACTATTTTTACAGAACAAAAAAAAAAGATATATTGCCATCTTTTTGTTCTATAAAAATAGATAATTGTATTTAAATTCCTATATATTACATTATACAACTGTAGTTAATGGCCTTACATAAAACTGCAATACTATAATATATTATATACCTCGTAATATATATTATAATCCTTAATGATATTTAAATTGCACAAAAATTATTGCAAATTACGTAAAAATCAAAGGCTTTAACAATCTGTATACAGTTTTTTTTTTCTAGTAAACGAATATGATAAATTCTGTGATAAATATTTAAACATTATATAATTATAATTCTACTTATTTACTTATATTTTGTTCAGGAATTTTTCCAAATTTCTTATCTGTTATTGTATTAACTTTAAAATATGACAACTTCCATAAAATGTATCATATTGGTAAGTCGTAACACTATCGTCTATACCTAATTACAAGCACTATATGATCTATAATATTGATTAGAGAATATCATAAAATATGTATGGTGGGGTGACTAAATCATTACTTGGCCTGAATTATTCTATACTTAGGACATATTAAGCACGCGGCTATATAATAGAATAGACGTTAATAGCCTATACACCAGACAATAGTTGTAATGGTAGATTAAATTATTTATGCTAACGAGCCTGCTTTATTAATTTTGTTCGTTTTACACATTACTTAGTTATATTTTGGAGCATTCGAGCAGAAGTTTAATTTTGAAACGAATTTTAATAATAATAACGATACAGTGCATAACGTTAGATCAATTTTTTAGGTTCTCTTGAAGCCTGTATAAATTCTGATGTATCGTAAGATGTTTACATAACTGTGGAAAATAATCTGCAGAATGTTTGTCTAACTGCATGCATGAAATGCAGATCCATGATGTGCATATGAATGGAATTTAATACGAGTTTAAGGTACCCTGTTATAAATTTTCTGCACGCATGTTTCTAGGCGTGGTTTGTTTTTTTTTCGATTTTTATACCAGTATATGGAAATCTTAATATATATCTATGGTTTAAATTAAGATTTTTCGACAGTAATTCTGTAGAGAGAATGTATTAACTAGTAAAATATAGAATTACGACCCGAAGGAAAGTGTAAATTGCCATTAAAACTAATACCTTATTAGTTTACATTAACTTGATGGTTTACGTCTTTAACTTCTTCAAGCCATCAAAACATGTTTGAGAAAATTCGTTCGAGGCCGGTTTGGTCCAATTACGATCGTTAACGTTCATCTTACAAGTAAGGAAGGAGGAAGGAGGCTTGGCATTGGTCTTTACGTGTTATCTCTAGCGGAAATGACGTCACGCCGAGTAGAACGACACTCCCTGGGGGTACGATAAGAGCGCGTTCCACGCCCTGAAGGTCCCAGTTTGGGTAATGAATTAATTAGCACAAAGTTTCCCAATTAAGTTGACATAGAGGGAGAAAAGAATGCTGTGAGACGGATCGATGTAGTGTCGAATCACTAAGAGGCGCCAGTCGAACTGGACCAAAGGCGACAGTCCACTTCAGTTGAACTAAAATATATATTATCGTCAAGAAATTATTGAGTTTTACATTATGTACGTAATGAGATAACTCTAATTAAGTTAATTGTCTCGCACTTTGAACTCCATCAGCATCAGTAACATTAATCTCGACAATTCGAGGTGTGCTTAATGTTCTGTCACCGAATCAGTATGATGAAAATTTTAAATACAATTATAGATAACTTTCTACTTCGATATTTCAATAGCAGATGGTTTTTATATAATGATTCGTGTATTTTCAAACATCTCGATTCTCCGACGGAAGAGCGGGTCCATGTTTATTGAAACTGCATCTGTCGACATCACACACACCCGTTGCTATAGTTACTTGAGGTCGTTTCATTCATAATCAATGAGTGACGTCACAGTTGCGTCACTGTCTTGACGATTCTATTTATGATTTTTATATTACTATATTTATAAATATTATTGTTATTTATATATACTTATACGTGTGTATCTATTTCCCATTGTTAAATGTTTCATGAACAACATGTGGTCTCTGTTTATAGTTACCTTTTCCAGAATTGCTATTTTAACAATGGAATAACAATTTTAAATTCGAAACTGAGCTATTGATTTTTTAAAATATAGAGATATACAATAAATATAAAGCATTAATAGATGATAATTACAATGATAAAGTACACATATTGTGCTTTCATTTAATACAATTGAACTGAATATATTGTTTAGAAATTGAAAAAAAAAATACAATAAAATTTAAAATTGTTTAAAGAATTTTTTATAAAAAGAATTAAGTTGTTTTAGAAGTTATAATATTTTCGATCGAATATATATTTTAAACTAAACTTTTACTTGTATATGATGTAGTTATAGCCTTGGAGGATTTATTGAATAGTCTAAGATGTCATTATTTGTCGCTCTTGTCAACTGACATTGGATTGCATTCGCTTCGATAAACTTTATTGCCTCATATTATTGCATAGATAGAATGTAAAAAATATATATATATATTTCAAAACTATTTATCTTATTTACAATTTTAATTTCCAGTGGTTTAAACGTTCCTCTTCGATAATATAACAGCCAATAGAATTTCGCGTATTATTCTGATCAGTTAGAATTCAAAGAATTCACTTTATTTTACAAGAATAAACTTACCTCCAAAAAATGTAAGTGGCAACAAGAAGTGCAACGACTATTACGGACGAACACACTGTTAAGATAGGGAGCAGTGGAAAGCTAGGAGGGGTGTATATTTCTCGGACTGGTTCCATTCTGCAATTGTGGAGTTCGTATTCGTAACCTGTCTTGCATTCCTCCAGAGATGCGGGAGCGGGGGGAGGCGGAAGAGCAAACTGAGGAGGAGGAGGAGGATCCGGGCAGTCGCACGAATCCGCATCTTCTTCCCATCGTGCACTGCTGCGATCCATCTTCCAGATCCAAAAGCTTAAAAGATTCATAAAGAAAATTTAATTTTTTTTTTTTAAATTAAATTTGTAAGGAACTTTTAATAAAATTTAATTAACTATTAAAATAAGATTGTTTAGTCACTAAGATATTTATATCAGCTATAAAAAAAAGGAGAACTGACGTAACACATTCTTGCTATAGTTGTCAGGAAGGATATTCTGATAAGGATGATTTAATAGACTTTTTAAAAGAAATTTCCCTATAAGACCATTATAAATAATTCCACTATTTAATAAAAACCCGTCAGTGACACGATAATGCATGATACCGATCCATTACTCAACTAGTAAGCTAAAAATGCGAAATTGCAAAGAAAGCATTTGATGGAAACCGGATGAAATTGGTAGTGTACATATTCTTCAATCCCAAACGCAAAATGAAGTGGTTGGAACCTTCAGAACAGAATGTATAATATATTCTCAACAGTTATTAGTATTCGGTGTCGGAAATGCTATTTTCCTAGAAGAACATCTGTCATGGATCCGTGTCGTTTGACACATTCCTATTCTAGAAGCAGCTTCTCAATCTCTCGCTTGTAGCGACAGTGATCAATCACTAAAGAAGTCGCAGTGCTTATCTTGAAGCCAAAAAACACTCTGAGCAAAGACGAAGAGTAAAACATATTCTCGGCTTTAAGCCAGTTGAGCATCTCAGGAGAAGTCTTTAGACACGGTTTGTCTTTTCATTTCGCGCTAGGATGGATCTCAGTACAGCAATTAATTAAAGGTGATTAAAGAAGTGATTAAGGAACTTTCTTTACAAAGCTCCTTCTCTCTCCAATCACAAATTTATAAATTACACAAAACTCTTCCCTTGCTTTATCAAGAAACAATAGATTTAAACAAAGGTTTTTAAAATATAATAGAAATATGTTTATTAAAAATCGAATTTTTTTTTTTTTTAAATTATAAGACTTTAGTAGAAAATACGCGCTTTTTTAACCCCCTATTTAATATATTAAAATATTATTTTTAAATATTAGTTTACAAATAATTGAATTTTTCAAATAAATTTGCATTTATCGTTAAAAAACTAGCATAAATATTAAATTTTTAATTAAAAAAAAATTGATTTATTCAGACTCGAGTTTAAAAATATTAGTAAAGAACCTAATAATTTTTATTTATAAATAAAATTTACAAAAATGTAAATATTTGTCAAACATTGCAGCATATTTTTTTTATTATATTTTTTCTCCCTCTAAAAAAAGAAAAAAAAACAGGAAAAAAAAGTTAAATTGCATCTCCGTAAATAATATATATATACATATAAATTCGAATTCGTTTTCATATTTATGTTTATTTATTTTTTTTTTAAATTTTTAAATAAAATTACTTATTCATATTAAAAATTATAAATTAAAGATAACGTATGATAAAGAAGGAAAAAAAATTATTTTTCTTTAAACTGCATAATTCACAATAATAAAAAAATTTAAAATATATTTAATAATATTTTTATTTTTACAGAAAACAAAACAAATATATATATATATATGCATATTTTACCATTAAAAAATCCATTTTAATTAAATATAAATTTATCAAAATAAATTTTTATTTTTCAATTTACAGAATTTTTAAATTAAATTTAATTAAAACGACGTTTCCAGAAAATTACAAAATAATAAAAAAAAGCACATTGTTTGCTTTCAAATAATATAATTAAATTTAATAGTAACAACAATAACAATAATAATAATAATAATAATATAATATAAAACGTGTAAAAATGATTTAAAAAATAAAACTAATAATACGTTTGCGTTACCGCA